CCTGCTTTTTTCTCCCTATTAGTTGTATGAAATATCTTTTTCCATCCCTTCACTTTTATTCTGTGTTTATCTTTGGGTTTAAAATGAGTCTCTTGTAGGCAGCATATAGATGGGTCTTGTTTTTTTATCCATTCAGTGACTCTGTGTCTTTTGATTGGTGCATTCAGTCCATTTACATTTAGGGTGCTTATCAATAGGTATGTACGTATTGCCATTGCAGGCTTTAGATTCATGGTTACCAAAGGTTCAATGTTAACTTCCTTACTATCTAAGAGTCTAACATAACTCACTTAATATGCTATTACAAATACATTCTAAAGGTTCTTTTTTTCTCCTCCTTTTTCTTCCTCCTCCATTCTTTGTATATTAGGTATCATATTCTATACTCTTTGTCTACCCCTTGATTGACTTTGGGGATAGTTAATTTAATTTTGCATTTGCTTCATAATTAGCTGTTCTACTTTCTTCACAATAGTTTTATTACCTCTGGTGACAGCTATTCAACCTTAGGAACACTTCCATCTATAGCAGTCCCTCCAAGATAGACTGTAGAGATGGTTTGTGGGAGGTAAATTCTCTCAGCTTTTGCTTATCTGGAAATTGTTTAATCCCTCCTTAAAATTTAAATGATAATATTGCCAGATAAAGTAATCTTGGTTCGAGGCTCTTCTGCTTCATTGCATTAAATACATCATGCTACTCCCTTCTGGCCTGTAAGGTTTCTGCTGAGAAGTCTGATGATAGCCTAATGGGCTTTCCTTTGTATGTGATCTTATTTGTCTCTCTGGCTGCTTTTAATAGTCTGTCCTTATCCTTGATCTTTGCCATTTTAATTACTATATGTCTTGGTGTTGTCTTCCTTGGGTCCCTTTTGTTGGGAGATCTATGCACCTCCATGGCCTGAGAGACTATCTCCTTCCCCAGATTGGGGAATTTTTCAGCAATTACTTTGTCAAAGAACTTTATATCCTTTTTACTCTCTGTTCTTCTTCTGGTACCCCTTTCAGGCAAATATTGTTCTGTTTGGATTGGTCACACAGTTCTCTCAATATTCTTTCATTCTTAGAGATCCTTTTTTCTCTCTGTGCCTCAGCTTCTTTGTATTCTTCTTCTCTAGTTTTTATTTCATTTATTGTCTCATCTACTGTATCTAATCTGCTTTTTAAACCCTCTATTGTGCTCTTCAATGATTGGATCTCTGACTGGAATTCATTCCTGAGTTCTTGAATATTTTTCCGTTCCTCCATGAGCATGTTAATGATTTTTATTTTGAAATCCCTTTCAGGAAGATTCATGAGGTTGATATTGGTTAAATTTTTCTAAGGAGTTGTATTCATAATTTTATGTGAACCAGGTTCCTTTGGCATTTCATATTTGTATATGGCGCCCTTTAGTGCTCAGAACTCTACTCTCTGGAGCTACTCAGCCCCTGAAGCAATGTTGGGGGTTGCAGGGGTGTGTTATTGGTGCCTGGTGGGAGGACACTAAGCAACCTAAGTGTCCATCAATAGTGTCCTGCTTCCCAGCTGCTATGCCTGCCTCCACTGCCTGAACCAGTGGGCTGAGCACACAGGTATAAGCCTCTATGTTTTGCATTTGTAGTTGCTGTAAACAGGTGCTCTTTCTGGCTGGCCTAACACCAGGGTAGGATCTGCTGGTTTGCGAGCCAGGTGGGTCTGGCAGGAAGAAAGGCACAGTAGGTTGCATATCATGGAGGGGTCCTTGGAGCTGTGCAGCCAGCCAGGGAGCTGGAGCGCCTGAAGACTGTGAAAGCTCCTAACCTGCTGGGTAGAGTGCACCCAGACAATTTTGTCTACCTGTCCTTTCTCTTGAGCAGTAAGCTCTGTGCAAACCTTGCCCCTTTAGCAGCCCTCTTGCTGTTAGGAAGTCTCTCAGACTGCCTGCCTTTCTTTGTCCCAGAGCAGCCGGATATGGATCCTGGCTTTCCACAAGTGGCTGGAATCTCAGTCTCTCCAGGAATTCTGCCTGTCTTAGCTTTCCAACCCCCTAATCACGAGAGTACCATGCAAGCACCACGAAATGTATGTTTGTGCTCCCAGAACAGATCTCCAGAATTAGGTATTCAGCAGTCCCAGGCCTTCACTCCCTCCCTGCTCCATTTCTCTTTCTCCCACCAGTGAGCTGGGGTGGAGAAAGGGCTTGGGTTCTGCTAGGTCATGGCTTTTTTACATTACCCTGTTCCATGAGGCTTATTCTTCTATCCAGGTTTATGCAGTTGGGTGCAGTACTCTTTCCTGTTGCTCTTTCAGGATTAGTTGTATTAATTGTATTTCTGTAGTGTATATGGTTTTAGGAGGAAGCCTCTGTCTCACCTCTCATGCCACCATCTTTAATCCTCTGCCCTTATGGTTTGTTTTTAATGTAGTTCAGAGCACCCAATAACCCTGCTTTAAACCCTTCAATGGCTTTCCATTACGCTTAAAAATCCATTTTTACCATCACCTAAGACATTCAAGACTTGCCTCTTTTCACCCTTCCAAGTTAATCTCGAGACAGTCACCACACTCCCCTCCAGCTTTTGATTGCTTTTTCTTGGCTCAGGACTTTTTTGATGTTCCTTATATCTGGAAAGTTCTTCCCCAGCCCTTGTCAAAGTTGATTGCTCAGTTTTGAGCATAAATGGCACTTCCCCTATTTTTCCCTGACCAATATGTTAGTTACCACCACCTCCCTATATTGCTCCTGCTTCTCTTATGACAGTTTTCACAGCTTACTACCAGCCCCAAGCAAGAGGTTTCCTCGAGTAGACAGGAGTGGTGCTATTGGTCCTGTACCACCACTTGCTTGTGTGCTACCTTCCATAGCAACTACAGGCCCCTTGCACCTCATTTACAAATATAAGAGGGAGATATTGCTGACCTGGATCAATGGAAGTTCCACACCTGCCTCAGGCTTCTGGTGGCCAAAGAAGGTGTCATCTTGGTAGTGACCAAATTCCTCCTCTAGGTGAAGAGGTTCTTTATCATTCCTACCTGCCCAAGGCATAGGGACATTGGCAGGCACTTGATGTCCTCTGTGCCTAAGTGGGTTCTGTGTGTGGCTACAATCCACACTAACTTAGCATTTTGTATGACTGTAGCATTGTAAATAAAGGAGAGCCAAGATTTGCATGTATATTCCAATTCAGTATAGCAGGCTCTTAGTAAAGAATTTTGAGATAACATGGCTTTGAAGCCCTGGAAATTTTATTTTGCAACATGGGCTTTAGTGGAAAAAAATTTTTTCTCTTTGAAGATACACACATATAGAGACTTACTGTCTATATGGAAAACATATCTATCTACATATGTGGAAGGAGAACCATGTTCTGAACACTCCAGATGCTTCTCCTACTAACTGGCCACTTACATGAGATGGGACCAAGGCCTACTTAATCCACTTTCAAAGTTATTAAGAATAAAGTGAGATCATATTCCATAAAAAGAATCAGGACTTACAGTTTGAAAAAGACATGCACCCCTATGCTTATCACAGCACTATTTATAATAGCCAAGAAATGGAAGCAACGTAAGTGTCCATCAATAGATGAATGGATAAAGATGTGGTACATATACACAATAGAATACTACTCAGCCATAAGAAGATAAATTCTACCATTTGCAACATGGAAGGAACTAGAGGGTATTATGCTCAGTGAAATAAGCCAGGCAGAGAAAGACAAGTATCAAATGATTTCACTTATCTGTGGAGTGTAAGAACAAAGAAAAAACTGAAGGAACAAAACAGCAGCAGACTCACAGAACCCAAGAATGGACTTACAGTTACCAAAGGGAAAGGGACTGGGGATGATGGGTGGGAAGGGAGGGATAAGTGGGAAAACGGGGCATTACAATTAGCACACATAATGTAGCAGGGGAGACACAGGAAAGGCAGTATATACAGAGAAGACAAGTAATGATTCTATAGCATCCCACTACACTGATGGACAGTGACTGTAATGGGGTATGTGGGGGGAATGGTAATAGGGGAGAGTCTAGTGACCATAATGTTGTTCAAGTAATTATACATGAACAATATATATATATAAAAAAAAAAAAGAGAATCAGGGTTTCTTGGAGATTTGGCCTATTCATTGCAAGGCAGGAAGATAAAATGTGAACCTGGAATACTTACTGTGCCAGAAAGTAAGGAAGCTTTACAAGAGTAAATCTGAAAATTCATCAAAGTTTAATAAATCTGTTAACCATTACTTCCCAGTCACACTGGTATTGACTAATTTGTTTCAAATAATATGAAATTAATATAAAGGATTTTTTAAAAAGACTGAAGGCAACTAAGTTTACAAAAGGCTTTAGGAGTTAAGTACAGGTTTCTTTTTGAGGTATTAAATTCTTAGATAATGGTGAAGGTTGCCCAACTATTTAAATCTACACAATTATACACCTTAAAGGGGTGAGTTTTATATGTAGATTTTATCTTAAGGCTGTTTTTTAGTAGTTAATTGTCAAGACAGGATCTATCATGTCTTTTTACATTTGAGACACATTTTTTTAAAAAGCATAGTTCTCTTAACTAGCTCTCAGGAAGGAAACTGGGCAAAGATCCTGGAGAAGTGATGACAAAATTGTTCCAGTTAACCTCTAGAAGTATGGTTTTTAGGCCTGGATAAGTCATAATGGAAATATTTTGAGGGAAATTTAAGTGAAATTTTGAGTAGACAACTACCAAGGATTATTTGGTATAAAAAATACCATTAAGTATCATTATGTTATGGGTCTCCAGAGAGCATATGTTGTTAAAAATCTGTTTTTCCTTGTAGTGGCAAAGCATCATGGTATAGTAAATGCTATCATGCAAATAGTACTGAAACGATTTAGTCAAACCCTTAATGTATTAATTTATGTTAAACTAAAGCCTTATTAGTAAACAGTACCACTTAAAAAATCATTGCAGTGTTGTCCAAAAATACCCTAATGGCTCCCAAAAATGAAATGAGTAACAGCTTTATGACTTTATATCTTAATAAATTAACAGAGCAGTCACTGTTCAAGGTTTATTTGGTGTTTTAGTTGGTATGACACTTGGATAGTTCGTTGCATTTTTTATATGCAGAGTTTTCTTTTTACATCATATGGCAATGTACACTACTCTGACACATATAAGTACACAAAATAAGATCCTTCAGAACAGTTATACACAATACATGCAACATTGGATTTATACACTGGATCCCAGGATGTGATTGGAGAAAATAAAGTTGGACTAGGCATACTGGGTGAAGGAACCAGAAGTTTTATAACACACATCTGGTTTGAAGAGCAAGTGCGGAATTGGCAGTGGTGCCCCTGAGGTGGTGGAAATATCTAGTTTAGGACTACACAATATTAAGTACCATCCAGCATCAGGATAGAGCTGCATGGTTTTATGAACCATTTCTATTTCTAACTTGAGGAAACTGATGTTTTGTAGGCTGTCTTAATGTCTTTAGTCACAGATCAGATAAAAAGGACAAGATGCACAACCTCCAACTAAAATCCTGTTCTGGCCTAGATGGTGAAGTGGTAGGACATTAGCAGACTTTAAAACTGCAGCTCTTTCTGGATGCCCCACAGTGTATCTGCGCTCTTCTTCAAACGGGCCTCTTCCTCAGGAGTCAGGGTCACCTTCACAACATCAGAGATTCCATTCTGACCCAAGATGCAGGGAACACTAAGGAAGACATCATCTTTTATTCCATAGAGACCCTGAAGACAAAATAAAAATATTTCACATTTTACTTTCATTCTCTGTAATTATGAAGCTTATTTAACACAAATCAATAAGTAGAAATTCCTTTCCAGATTTTCAGTTGGGATGTAACGAACAGTGCAAGTCATTCAAATAGCAGTAAGATTCTGCTCTAGAAGAAAATCTAAACTCTTTCCATGATCTTCCAACCTTTATTGACTACTTTGGTAACTCTAACTTGAGTGATTTCTATTTTTCCCAAAGGCAAAAAATCTATTTCTTTTGTGGTCTTCCACCCACCTCAACATAATTGAAAGCAACATTTTTAGTTGTTAAGTTACCAAGTACCTATGTACGGAACACAGTATTAGTTAGTGGCCAGTAAACCTAAAGCTCACCATTTCTTTCCAAAAAGTAAAGTTGTGACTGCACTAATTTAGTTCACTTAGATCAATGATTGAGGACTTACATTAATCTGCTTTCACAGAACAATCTTTTTAAAATACCAGGAAATTATGGCATTCAAATATGACGTATCACTACATAGACCTACCTTAATCATGGTGGAAATTGGATGCACCCGTCTAAGATTCTTCATTATACTTTCTGCTAAGTCTGCCACAGACAGTCCAATGGCCCAGGAAGTGTACCCTTTCAGTTTGATCACCTCATAGGCACTGGAGAGTAGGGAAGGGCATGGAAAGGTAGCAAAAATTAGGTGGGAGAAACAAAGGAAAAAAAACTTTCACCATACATATACCTTATAGTAAATAATACCAAAAACTTACATTATACACCTCAGAGTAACCCTTACCATGTATACCAGTATACTATGTACAGGGATCTTTATAACAGTACTGTAATAGCAAAAGCCTGGCAATAAGCCCAATGCTCTCCAACATGGGAATGGCTAAATTGCAGTATATACACAGAAAGTGAATGTGTGGCACACAGTGGAATAGTATACTGCTATCAAAACAAGTAACTATAGCTATATGCAACAAAACATGACTCTTTTAAATGTAATCGTGAATTTTAATAAGAAATCCAAGAATACATATAGTGTGCTTAACTCAGTATTATATCAAGTGATGGGGAAAGGGGAGACAGAGGGATGAAGGAGGAAGGAGTACCACTCATTTCCAAGTACTACCAGGCCAGTAATCCTGACCCAACAAACACCACAGTTAGTTGACAGCTATTGTAAATGTTTCAGGTTTCATTTAATTAAGTAAATACAAGTAAGAAGTCCTTGCCTAGACCAATTCATGAGTCATTATTAAATTCTGCAGATCTGAGGTTCATAAGACCCATGACTTATAATAAATAATGCCACCAATTTGAAAGCTTCCCTGTTTCAACAATTTCTAACAATGAATAATTATTTACATTTTTAGTACCATTCTGAATCTAGACACTGCTTAAAACTTTATAATCATCTAAATAAACAAGAAGCTAGCTGTTTCTATTCATAAAAACTATAATAGGAACTTGGATTTTAAAATTTTTATTCCTAACTGAATCATATATACCATTGAAGTAAAAACTGAATCTCAAATAGGGTAGACAGTCTAACTGGTTTTAGCTTAATAGTTTATAATATAAGCACAGATTTATCATACTATACAGAAATATGGCAAAAAAAAAGACTAATGTCTATCATTTTTAATATCTATACCTGTTTTATAGTATGGTCTTTAATGAAGGTTTAGAAAACAAATTTTCTAACAAAAGGTACTCAAATGCAAATACTATTAAGCTATTAATCTTTTAAATAAAGTATTAAATGTTAAGCTCCCATATTGCCAAATTACAAGATCTATTACCTGTCAACGACCTGTTTGTGAACCTCTTTCCACTGTTCCTTATCTGCATCAGTGCCTAAATCAGGATGCAGATTCTTCAAGGAGACACCAGCAACATTTACTCCACTCCACACAGGCACTAAATTAAATATTCAGAATACATTTATTTCCATGTACCATCCAGCAGACTAGTAATTTTGACCCATTTTTCTAATCCTCTTTTCTTATCTGGGCGATCATTCCCTTTGGTAGATGGTCAAGGCTACGAATATCCTTACTTTTAGATGTGTGTTGATTAGATTATAAAACTAAGATTTTTCACTATATTCTAACCTATTGGGATATTTAATCCATACATATTTGACAGTCTGAGATGACAAAGGATAGTTTCTCAGCATAAAGAAATGAGAACTCTGCACAAATGATTTTTCAGCTGTGATAATAATAGAGTTTCTCATACAGCCCTTTTGGATTTGCTGACCTTTCCAGGGCCAAGCTGTTCAAGTCAAGTATAAATAGCTGTGATATTAAATGACTCGGTCATCCTAATAATTCTCAACTTATTTACTATGCCTGTCGTAAGAAATTTCATTCCCTATCTTCTATGCTATAAAATGTCATACAAAGTAGCTAAAATCTTAACAATTCTTAGCATATAATTATACCAAGATAGATTTCTAGAAAATATTTTACCCTGATGAATGGATATCTGATTTCAGCTCTGATTTGATAGTGAAACTCCTGTCAATGTTACACAATCTTTTTGAAAACAAAAGGAGAAAACAAGTTATGCTTACCACTAGAGTCTCCATGCTCTCCGAGGACCCACCCATGACAGCTTAATGGGTGAACTCCCAGCCTTTCCCCCATGAGATAACGGAACCGGGCTGAATCCAGATTGCAACCACTTCCAATAACACGGTTTTTGGGAAAGCCGCTTATCTTCCAAGCCACATAGGTCAAGATATCCACTATGAAGAAAACATTGAGGTAAAGATACTAGGTAAATCACTAGATGATTGGCTACTCAAGATATATGGCTCCCTAAGGATCTTGATATTGATAACTAATATTTGTGTTGGTATTTTTAAGCCTCTACTATGTATAATATAGCAAATATATTAAGTATTCAAGAAGTGTGGTTTAATGCAAATAAACTGTTTATCAATAAAACTTGCATAACCTTATCCCTTATCCAAGATCTTCTTGGGCAAGTAACTAATTTTAAGGTTCCAACTACATTCAGAGGCATTGTTTCTCCTTTAATATTTTAAACTTTAACAGTTTTACAAAAACAGAAATCCATTCTCAGGAGGAATAAATAAATGTGTATACAAAATATGACATGTACTATCAATTTTACACTAGCTCACCTATTTATGCAATTAAAAATCTCACCTGGATTGGAAACAATAAGCAACTTGCAGTTTGGGCTATATTTTACAACATTAGGAATGATGAATTTAAAGATATTCACATTACGCTGGACCAGATTAAGACGGCTTTCTCCTTCTTGCTGACGTGCCCCAGCAGTGATAATAACCAGCTTAGAGTTTGCTGTCACATTATAGTCTAGACAAAGGGAAATAATAACCAGGTTAATGCCTTTAAGAGAATTCCCTACCTAGCCAGCAAAAACTTGTTTCCTCAACTTGTTTTTATGAAGTTTTATCTGTGTTTTGTCACTTCCCTACTTCCTTGCATACACAGATTAACACCCCAAATGTCCCCCAGACTCTTTCAGTTTTCAGTTTTAACAGAAGCCACGTAGTGTGGAAGAAGAGAACGTCAACACCTTCCTTGTATTCTGGTTTTAGTCACATTGTGACTTTATATAACTACAACTAGACAGAGCTGAAAGTAATCTAAGGAATAAAAATTCCCAGAATTTTGCCACCTCTGCTCAATACTCAGTCTTGCATACTCTTATTTCTATTTAACTACCTAATTGTGGTCATATGAGCCCAGGGACAAACTCTTCTTTTTTAAAGCAGAGGCAACTTCACACTTATCAAGCATGTCTTGCTCCTTGATACCTTATGGCACAGGATGATTAACCCAAAGATGAGATAAGTAGTCAATGATTTTCAGCTGTCAAAACAAATACTATTTGGGCCCATGTCTAAGTTTTCTGGCTGGTGTTTGTGTGTGTGAAAAGGACAAGCCAAGAATATCTGAACAGGCTCCTTTACCCTATACTCAACCTTGTGTTAATGTATGAAAGGAAGCAGGGAAAGTAAATATATCTAATTTAAATATTTGAAGCCAGGTGGTTAAATATGGACCTAAGGAGCTTTACTAATTACATTCTAATTCAGATACTTTTCACATCATGGACAAACTGAATTTCCATTTCAAACCATTAACTAGAAATAGAAACTTTGATATCCATAGGTACCAAAGCAAAATTGCTCAAAGGCTATCTTCTCCTACATAAAAGAGAAATCTTTGAAGAGGTGGGATTTAGAGGCTGATAAAGGATAAGTCTAGCAGGGACTCCAATATGAACTTATAGAAATCAACCTTTGCTAGAGACAATTTTTGGTGTTCTAAGGAAAAGGCTGCCATGCTGGAGATCCATCATCTCTCCCTTCAATTTGTCTTCTATGACATCAACAAGAGCAAGTTCATCTGCCAAATCCTAAAAGACATAAAATTTTTAGTTAAATGGAAAAATTGCTACTTCCATAGGAGAGTTCTGCTACTTTATTCTTACCAATACATACCTCAAAGTAAAGGCAGCCCCCCATTTGAAAACTGACTCACAATAACCCATACACAGAAAGAAGCAGTGACCCTCTCTCCAATCCTCTCCTCAATGGAACAGCTTCTGCTCCACCACCACTGTACAGAAGCAGAACACTGGCTTGGCAGTGATTAGAATAATGTCCAGTTAGGTAACACTGCTCTACTTACTCTCTCAAATTCACTTTTATACACTGATGTTAAGTTGTTATTCATTACGTAGGTGATACTGACCAGTACTAAAACTTGAAATTTCAACAGTGATGTTCTGGATCATCTGCTGTTTATATGTTTTCCCTATATTAACCAACACTAAGTTTTACAGTGATAGATTTGTGCATTGCAAAACATTGGTGAAAAATATTCTTTCCATTGAAACTATAGAAGTTCATAGGTGCATTTCAGACCAGGAGCACCAACAATAGCCTTATACAAATGGCAGGCAGACAAGGCAGACAAAGAAGTTACTCTAGCTGAACTGCAGATCCACCCCCAAATCATCTACAGTATAGTAAGCTGGCAGCTACTTCTACCCACACCTGAGTTAGAGGGCATCACAGGAAAAGACCACACGAGGTGTGTAGGTGTGAGAAAAACACATGGCATCCATTTCTGATCCAGTGAGGCAGGAATAAGAATTGGTACAGGTATTCCCCAATTTCTCAATTTTCATTACTCCACTCCACTTTTATGAGGGAGAAATATAAGTACCTGTTCTCACTAACCAAAAGAAATCTGAAGAGGATTTTTGCTTTTATAAAAAAAGTCAAAAAGCAAAAATAGCATTCAGTGTTTGTTTTGCAGCAAGCTGTTACAGAGGCGGCCCACACTGAGCAGCATGAGTAGCCCCCGCCAGGCTCCTTTGCCCAGGATTGCACTCAGCATCATCTCAGTCAACCATAGCTTTCAACTGTGTCTGTGAGCATCCGTGCTTTATCTTGATTTATTTTGTGCATCTGTTGTATCCTACTGTATCACAGAACCCTAGGAGATGTTATTTTTGGGGTCTGGGAACCCTAAAAAATTTCCTATATATTAATGGTAATTGTTCCTTCATTTTGTCATTTAAGCTTAGGGAAAGTTTCATGGCAACACTCTACCTTGAGTGGGAGAATCCAATATACCACGTGGCCTACTACTAAGAATATACAGAGCAACCTGTGTTGTTACAAGACCTCTACATAGCTCAATTCTGTCTTCAGTCCATTCTCACTTCAATTCTTTTCTGTTCAGAACCCAGAATTCATCATTTCACTCTATCAGGAACTCCAAATATTTTAATATTGTAAGCTACCTCCATTTCCTTTTTATATAAACCAGGTTTGACTACTGTAAAAAGTATTGTTTATTCATGCACAAATTCTTTTCCTAATGAGATTTTAGCTACATAATTGGTTCTGACAGCTATCCAAGGGGAACAATGAGGATCTGCATGGGAGGAAGACTTAAGATTCCCATATTCATTGTCATTTTAATTTTACCATATATATTCAACCCAAAAATTACTTTAAAAATATTTTAGCTTGTTTAAAGGCATGGACTCCTCTTTTTCATTTGCAGGCAATTCATGCCTGTTCACCCAGCAGTGAGTTTAAGGAACTGCATCACCAGCCTAACAACCTGATTTTTTTAGTTCAGATGCCATACATAGCACCATGTTTCAAATGTTGGTTTCACATGAAGTTCTTTCAGTGAGTGCACGAACCTAAATATCTGTATACACAATGTGATAATACAATTGTTGGGGAGGGAGTGGAGAGGGGTGGTGGGGTCAAGAGAGCCCTGCCTTCCAGCACGACGGGTTCTCACTTACCTTCATTAATATACTGATGGCACAGGCCATGCCAACAGCACCGACCCCAACAACTGTAATCTTATTCTGGGGGGTATGTTCTTCCTTAAGAAGATTCTGAATCAGCTGATCCTTGAGAGTTGCCATGTTTTTGGACTTAGAACCCAAAGGAATCTATAGGATGAAAAATATGCACAGTCACTGCATCCTCTTTACATCAGCACATTAATCAAAAGCTGTTCTGAAAAGGCTAATGTTACCTCCTCCTGGGGCATTCAGAACTAAAAAGCGGGAAGGAAAAAAACTAAAGATAGACAAAGGAGAGTTGAAAGGCCTATGCCAGGGTCTGGTGTGGCTAGGATCTTGGCTCACCTTGGCATGGAAAAATAATATTGATGTTTGGGTGTAAGTATAGCCTCCTGATGGCTCACTCACCTTGGTTTATTAACCCCAAGAGGGGCCAGTATCATTAACTGCTTCACCGCCAGACTAGAAGCCCTGGGACGGGCTATGAGCTCTGGTCTTGCACGCTCACTCGCTGTCCCCACCCGCAATGCGGGTTGAGATCCGACCAACTGCACGGTCCACAGGAGCTCGCGGTTTTTACACCCCGCCCCGCCCCGGAAGATCAGTCGCCGTCTCTCCCCCACCCACCTATGAAACCTGGGCGCATGCCCACTCGAGCTCTGGGGAGGGCAGGAGCCGAGGCAGCGGGCTTTAGAGCTGGGCACCGGCCCCGCCCGAAGCCCCGCCCACGAGCGGAAATGATTCAGAACTAGCTCCCAGTCAGACTTCGGACTTAACTTATGCTCGGAAGAGGACGGGAGCAACTCGCTGGCAGCCCCCGTGGCTTGGCGAGCGGCCAGAGCCTAGACTTCAGATCTCAATACTGGACATCAGGGACTGTTAAGCAACAGGGAGGGAGGCGCCTCTGGTGGCTTCTGCCGTGATCCATGTTGCAAAGGCGTAAAACCCGGTAGGAGGAACTTTTGTCAGTACAGGAAGTGCAGAAATAGCTGCAGAGGCCTGTGGCCTGGAGCCCTAAAATTAATACTTGGCGGAATCTCCATTCCTGAGGCGGGGAGGGGGACTTGACTCTTCTAATCCTACTCTGCCTTGCATTCACTGAAGGGATTCTCACAGGTTGCATCCCGAATGTACCGAGTGCAGTCTTGACACCGTCCCAAGAGGCAAAAATACCCAAGAGGACTTCAGGCAGGCAGCCCAGGGCCACCAAGTTGGAATCGGGTCTCCATACAAATCACAGCTATTTCTAGAAGCCTTGTAAGGTTTCTGCAGGCCGCCAGCGGGGAGGGAGTTCTTCCTTCAGAGAACTCCTAGCTTTACCAAAACCTAAACCCTGGGCTCCAGCACTCCCTTCTATGTGGGAACAAGGAGAAAGAGGAACCCTGCAGAAAATGGGTTTACTCCCCAACTCTGGGAATTTGGAACATCACTGAGACATCAGAGGTGACCTAACCGTCTCCCAGCTTTAGGTTCCCCCATTTGTCAAAAGGAGATGGTACCGGATGGATCCTCAAGGGCCAAAAACTGAGCCTTTTTTGCTTCATCTTTGCATTCATCTTGCCTAGTGTGACGCCGGATACATCAATAGCTACTTAATGTAATTTGTGCAGAGTTCCCTACAATCTTAAGGCAGCGGCCGCCCCCATGGAGCCCACCTCTTGAGGGTCTCAAGGTTAAAGTGAGACCCGAGCGGCGCTCAACGGCTTTCCTGCTTCCAGGAAGCCGCCCCAGACCGCTAAGACTTTTTCGGTTCCGCGGTCTCTGGCAACCGGACCTCAAATTCCGCGCGGTTTGCGGATTTCGAGCCCGGCGATGTGCCCCACCCTTCAGACCTATCATCTCGTTGTCCTGCACCCGCACCCCACCTTCTCCCCTGGGCTTTCGACCCCAGCTTGGCTGCGGCCATCTCCTCGGTCTCCCAGCCGAACCAGAGGCCACGGGGCCCATTCAGAGCAAAAGCAAAGTATGGCGGGTTCCGCGTGCATGCGTGAGGTCGGCCACCGCCCAGGTCTCCAGATCCCGCCTCTGGGAAGCAGCGCCTATACCCCCAGGAGCAGGGTCCCCGCCGATGGCAGAGCGGAGCCAGGAGGCCCGGGACACCTCGCTCACCCGCCCCCTCGGGCGCAGTGCGCGCCAGGGCCGACCGTACCGCGAATGCACGTCGGGCTGGCGGGCGTCCGCGGCGCGCAGCGTTAGATCCTGCCTCTGCAGCAGCTGCTCCGAGACAGTGCTGGGGACCTGGGGGGGCCTTAAATGGAACAGCGAGGCTGACGTCAGTGGGTAGCCAGGCGGACGTGCTCGAACCCACGTGTGGGTTGGGCTGGGGGCGGGCTCCAAGTCGGGCGGGGCCGTGCCGAGGTCCAAGCGGCGCGCGCAGCGGTACTACAGGCCTGAGAACTGATCCACGTGAGCCGTGAGCCGGGACATCTAGGAGCTGCCTCCAGCCACGCTGCCTGCAGCCACATAAGTCCTGGCCAGCACCACCAGCCAAACACGAGCCAACGCTCAGAAAAAACCTGATCTGAATCCGAACCGTTGTTCCCGAATACCCAAAACAGCTTCTGGCATGTAATAAGCACGAGGAAACTATTTGTGGGAAGGAAGAAGGAGACACAGAGGGGTAATCTGCCCTTAAATCGAGTGATCTCCAAAACTTTACGCTGCTTTTCCCTGTTGCTGCTAAATCTTCTTAAGTCCCGCAACTCAGAGTGAGCCCTCAGCTCCAGGTCTTTGCTCATGCTGGTTCATTTGAGTTACCTGCTTGCCTCCTCCATGTCTTCTGTAAACCTTACCCAACAACTGGTACATCACACACACACACACACACACACACACACACACACACCACTAACCATACACCCGCAGAGTTGGTAATCTCCCTCATCTCTGCTTCCACCACCACACCACCACACTGTTCTGTATCTCCTCAAACTGGCTTGCATTTGAGGTGTATGTGGCTCTGCAGTCTTGACAGTGGCTCTCAAGGGATCAGTCTATCACTCTTCCACCGTGGCACCTTGGGCACCAGCTTAGCGCCCAGTTCTGAAAAAGATCCATAATTGTGGGTTTCTTGGTTTTGAAGGGAAAACTCCTTAACTCCAGCTCCAGAAAAGCAGGGCATCTCTTTTACATGTCCTAACAGCTTTCTCATCACTCTAGGAGGCCCAGAAAACCTAGGCTGTCACCTCAAACACACAGTTAGAGGGGCTGAGCACCCGCCACAGGTTCTCCATGGTTCTTCAGGGTGGGGCAGATTGCAACAGTGTCTGTGGTTCCTTGGTCTTTGCAATGTCCTCATTCAGTCAGGCTGGGCCCCTGCCTGTTATCAAATGCAACCACAGCTGCGGGCAGGAGGAGGGTAGAGATCAGAAAGCAGAAGTTAAGCTGGGGAGTCAGGTGAGATTCCTCACCAGGAGGCCTCTGGCCTGACCTCTGAAGTTAATCTAGGCAGAGTTTGCAATGCCCTAAATGAAGGCATCTAACAACAGATCACTCCAAGCACACTTCAATCTTATATAGAACAACAGCATCTATTTAACTGCAAATATGAATAAAACAAGTACCATTTACTGAGCACCTCTTATGTCAGGCAGCAAGCTAAGCAATCCCTATGCTCATCTTCACTTTAATTCTTTGGAGTATGCATAATTATCCCCATTTCTCAGAAAAGGAAGCCAAGGCTCAGGGAGATTAGTGACTTTGCGAAAGTTGTACAGCTAATATATGATTTCAGCTGGTACTTGAATCCAGGTCCTACTGACTCCAAAGCCTATGATTTTTTCTCTACTGTCATTCCCACCCCTTACCCCCAACTTGGCAAATGTCAAGAAATGATGTAGGGGACCCATGCCAGTCCCAGGCTCAGACAGCTCAGTTTTCAGTTAATGAATGTCAATGGGTGTCTCTGCCTGTCTTCTCGAGCTGGGACATCAGTCTTCTCCTGCCCTCAGACTGGTTTACACCAACGGCACTCTCCTGTTTCTCAGGTCTTTCGTACTTGAACTAGAATTTCCACCATCTGCTTTTCGGGGTCTCCAGCATGCATACGGCTGATATGGGACCTCTCAGCCTCTATAGTTACATGAGCCAATTCCTTATAATAAATACTGATATATCACCTATTGGTTCCATTTCACTGGAGAGCCCTAATACAGTCCAAACTGAAAATTTTTATGCTAAAGCCCAGGGAGAATGAGGGACCCATGGGTCAGGAAGTACTGTTTCAGAGGGCGGAACTGTCTCAACCTAATCAAGTGTTCTTTAGGGATGGCCTCTTTAACGGGGCACAATCCCCCAAAGAGTTGGTTTGACCAGGGAACAGGCTGGCCTCAGAGAGTGGGTGGTGTGCAGCACCCCATGTAAAATTTTCTAATGGCCAAAGAATGGTGACCACCCAAAACAGTGCTGAATCATTCCTTCATTCAGTATTTATTCCACTCTTCCTCAAGAACATTCAATGGCTTTCAGAATAAAAGCCAAATTCCTTGGATAGGCACACTAGGCCCTCCGTGATTCAGTGCCCACATCCCCTCTCTGACCTTATTCCTATTTTCCTTCATGCTTTCTATATGCCAGCTCCAAGGCTACTTATCATGTGTCCAAATAAACTATGTACTTCCACCTTAGGTAGTTCCTTCAACCTGAATATTCTATCCCGTGCCACCCACCCACCTACCCAAGCCTCACATATTCATAGATCAAGGGCTGTTCCTTGGGCTTTATAGTAAACTCATTTTATTGCTGTACATCTCTTTCTCTCTCTAAGCTATAAGTTCCTAGCGGGCAGAAACTTTCTCACTCATCTCCATATCCCAGCACAAGACATTTGTTTGTTTAATAAATGTATTCTGAATTAAATACCTACCATGAAAGGGCACTGTGCTAAGTGTTTAGGACACAAAAATGAATAAGACAAATGTTTTAGCCTTCAAAGATTTTTTACCATTTAGTGGGGGAGATCAACAGCATCCAGTCTGCCACACTGCCAACTGCCACACAAAAGGCAGAAAAAATCGCTCTAGCATTCAAAGACGAGAGAGGGGACACCAGAGGTGGCTTCGGTTGAGGATACTAGAGAAGGCTTCCTAGAAGAAGTAGCATCTGAGCTTAGCCTAGACAAAGACTTCAATTATCGAAGATCAGGTATTAAGAAAGCAGAGAACACAGCATGAGCATAGGGGCAGGAAATTCAAGACGTGTCTGGTAAATGTTTAAATGCCAGGCTAAGATATTTGGGGTTTTTATTTCTTTGTTTTTGGTGGTCAGTGATAGTCATACTGGTTTTTAGAGAATGAGAGAGAAGGTGAAAGCAAGGTGGTTAAGAGGTTGTGGGAAAGGGGCACCTTATTTGTAAATAGAAACTTAGAACATACTTAGCTCCAGCTGCGTCTGCACAGAACATACACTTCTCCGACGTGCCCTTCACAGTCCCACAGCCCCACTGAACACTCACTCACAGCCTGACTTGCTTCACCTTTTCCATGGTTGCAAAATTGATGATTTTCCTGAGTTGCAGGGCCCAAGATGAAGGGGGCCTCATTGGTCTCCGTCCCTGACAGGCAGAGCCTGTTGTGTACATGCCAAAGCCGAGGCTCCTCTCTCTGTCAAGAGAGCAGGGGGCCTGCCCAGGGAGACTGCTTCATGTCACCTCCCAGCCCCATCCATCGGTCACATGATGGGAGTGGAAATGAAAGACTCCACCCTGACTCCTCAAGGTTTTCTGGGTGCTCGTCCCTGATGCTTGTCCCCACCATGTCCCCTCCCCCAGGCTAATGGGGCAAGGCCCCTTAATGAAAAGTCCCCAAAGAGACCCCTCGCCCCTTTTGCTATGTGAAAACACAGTGAAAATACAGCTGTCCATGAATTTGGAAGCAGGCACTCACTGGACACCTGCTGGCACTTTGGTCTTGGATTTTCCAGCCTCTAGAACTGTGAGAAGTAAGGTTCTGCTGTTTATAAGCTACCCAGCCTAAGGTATTTTGTTATAGCAGCCCAAATGGGACTAAGGCACCCTTCCAACCTTTTCCTACCCCAGGAAAGAAATAAGAGCTCTGCTCTTTTCTCTCCATCCTACCCTGGCAGGGAGTTAGGCCACAAGCTTTCCATCCATTGGCAGCTTCCAAAGATAGTCACCAGAATATAAGAGGCTTCCAAATTGAAAGCCCCTAAAATCAGTGCTGCAGAGGGAATCCCAAGAGCCATACAATCCCCCAGCATAATGGAAAGTGCCTCTTATCTAATCAGAGTGAGGAGGACTGTGGGAAAGCCTTTCCCTCTGACACCTTGGGTGACAAGAACATTGACAGTCACGGCTTAGCAGGGATGAGCGAGCAGCCTGGTGGACAGGTGATACTGACCTGAGGGTCAGGAGACCTGGGTTCTGGCTCCAGCTTTGTCATGGACCTTGGGTTGACATTATGGCAGTCATACTCCTTCTGTAGCCTCAGCATCTGTCACTGTAAACATCCAGGGAGACTGAGTTAGTGAATCAAGCCTCCACAAGCACCTTCATTTTTACAATGGCTCAGGATTCAGAGGCAAAGCTGCCCCCCAATTTTGGGAAGTGATTTCGGCTGATCCGGGGGTGGAAGCAGGCATTCAAGGGGCCGTCCCTGGTAACAGGAAATCCATGCCTGGTATTCTATTGTTCCCCATATTATTTCCAAAATTGGGCCCCAAATTCCCAAGGCACTGGTGGGTGTTGGATTTGTTAATTAAAAACAGTCTCACAGGGTGTGTCTGGGGGGACTGGACAATATGGGTGAATGTTGTAACCACAATGTTGCTCTTGTATATATCAATGATACCTTAATAAAACAAAGCAAAAAAACAAAAACAAACAAAAAAACAGTCTAACAGGGCTTTGAAGCAAATTACTGATAACAAGAACCCATCTCTCTCTGATTGCTGTGTAAATAGTTTTAAACCTTTAAACTCTACCACATGGGGAATCACATTCCAAGCCCTAGCTCAAAAAAGAAGGGTCATTTCCTATGAAATTCCAAGAGGATCAAAGTGATTGTGAGTGTGAATACAGCCAGAGAAGTCTATTCATTATTTCCTGGGGCTGGAGTGTGGAAAAAGAGTGGTCTTAGCCATGCAGCTGCTGACTGCAGAGCATCCTCACTGAAATTTGGGTATGTGGACCCTGGGATTTTGTTTAAACTACTGTGCACAGCCACTCACCCAGCTATACCTCACAAGCAGGTTCTGCTGGAGAAGTTTTCTGCCCTGTTATTAGAGCCTGCTCAGAGGACCCTGGCCTGAAAAAGCAGTCCATATCGTTTTACCAGAAGGGGTTTGGGGTCCACTGGAATCTGGGAGCAAAGGGGAGCTCC